TACCACCTGTAGGTGGGCAGACTCTTTTCAGGGTTGCACATGCAGGTGACTGTTGGCAGTGGTCAGCCGAGCTCTGGGGAACTGGGTGCTGGCAGTCATGAGGACAGGGCTGGCCCAGAGCCAACTGTGTGTGCATGTGTGGTGAGCTGTAAAGACACCACCGTGACATTCCCTCGTGTCCTAAGGCAGCTTTGTGACATGGGAAGGAAACACTGATTCTGTAATGTTGAGCCGATTACTTGAGTCTATTTCTCCCAAGGCTGTGCAGCAGAGAAGGAATTGCAGGTGCCTCACCCATTGCCTGGCCTGTCCCTGTTCCTGGTGTGTAGTGCAGGCATCTCCCCCCTTTCCCCTCTACGTTACGCCCTGTAACACACACACCCCTACCATACATCGCAGGCAATGCCCCTCCCCGAGGTGGCCGGCCCCGCTGTGTTCTTGGTCCTGTTTGTTCATTTGGTCATCTCATACCACTGTGTGGTCTGTGTGGGCAGGAGAGATTTGGGTTTGACCCTGGCCCTCAGGACACATTGTCACCATCTGCTGTCAAGGGGGCCAGGGTAGAATGAGCTTCCTGCTAGGGTTGTTGCTGGGAGACTGTGGGGCCTGGTGCCTCCACAGACCAGGCTGCAGGGAAGCAAATGGCCCCAGGGCAGGGCATCAGGACTGCTGGGACAATGGGGAATAAGCCAGGGGAGGGGCACATACTGGGCCCTGGGCCCTGAGCTGAAAGAGAGGGAGCCTGTGCTGACAAGGAGCAGGCACACTGCAGGAGAGGGCTGCCACAGAGCCTCTGTCAGACCAGAACTCTGCAGACCCCTGTGCAGTTTGCAGGGCTACCTGCTCTGGCCCCGTCTCCCATGCTCTCATGTTCTCATCCCTGTATTCCAGCCTCAGCTCCTGGTCTGGGGGCTGTGAACACTGTTCCACCTGCCCCCACAGCCCGGTAACTGCCTAACGCCATGTGAGCCCTGCTTTGACCCCCACTGAGTCTGAGACGGTTCCTCCCCCACCCCAACCTTCTGCTGACTGTCAGAGCATGTCTCCCCTACCACACACCAGGGCTTTTACATGGCTGTCTCCCTGCGTCTTGCGCCACAGCAGCCCGCCACCATGGCGAGGGTGAGGGCCAAGCATGGCAGAGCCCCAGCAGTGGTGGGAACATTCAGGCACGAAGAGTGTCCCATGGTTCTGTCCCCATACCCTCTTCCCCCATGCCGGGCCTACTGCCCTGCTGACGCCCCTGTCTCCTCCTGCAGACGATGATGCCTTTGAGCCAGCAGAGGCCAGCCCGCCAACCCCAGGGGATGGTGACAGTGAAGGCGCATCGCCCCGGCGCCTGGAGCAGCCTCTGCCCGCTGCGGGGACCTCCCTGGCAGACCTGGAAGACTCAGCGGACAGCAGTAGCGCCCTGCTCGTTCCCCCTGACCCCACCCAAGGCGGGAGCACCCCAGCCACAGAGGCGCTGCCAGGGGATGGCCGCCACAGCCGCAGTTCCCTCAACACCGTGGTGTAGAGGATGCCCAGCCCATGGCCCTGAGGGGCAGGGAGCACCTGTTTGTTGTTAGTAAAACTTTGATCCCCATGGAGACTTGAAGGGCTCCTGTGTGAGCTTGGACCCAGCCTGCACTGCCGCACACCCCACGAAGGTGTGCACGTGTGTGGAGACGGTGCCAGCCTCCTGAGGGCGCGAGCACCTGCACCAAGTCTCTTGAGGGCTTCGAAAACATGCATAGCTCTGGGTCACTGTCTTTTTCTTTTTAAATAGCAGAAGAATGACAAAGATTGTTCAAACCACACATTTCAGGAGTAGGGAACAAAGAAGGCACTGGGGGCCTGGGTGGGGGCCACATCATCCCCGGCTTTGGTGGGCTTGCTCGCTGTACCATGCCGTCCAGAGGAGTCTGCCGCTCAGCCAGCAGGCCCCGGGTTGCCATGGTGCACCTCACTGGCCACTGTTCAGGAGGGCACTTCCAGGTGCTGGGGTGTTTGTGGACTGTTAGGATTGTCTGGGCAGTGGGTCTCTAGGTTGCAACAGTGGTTGCTCTGGGGATGATCCCCCACAGGTCCAGCTGTGGACATCAGGTGTGACCCTGACCCAGGTTGGGGCCTGGCTTGGGACTTTGGTGCCCAAGGCATTGAGAAGGGGAGCTTGGAAGGAGGTTGAACTCTTCACTCTGTCTTTCCAACTGGGCTCTGCAAAGCCCAGTTCTGTGCCAGGAGGCCCTGGCCCCACCCTATCGGATTTCTCCCCAGCATTGCTGTGCATGGCTCTCCCAGGAGGCAACTCTGGAGTTGGGTTGAGGTCCTTAGCCACGCATGAGTGTCCTGGCCCTGGACCCACTGCTGGGGCTTGAGGGCTAAGCTGGCTCCTCTTTTACCCTCTGGAGCCCCCCTCCTGTTGAATTTGCCCCCAGACCTGGCCTGCCCATACTCCCACCTTGTTTGTGCCATAAAGGGTTGTTTCTTTGGGGGGAGGGGTGGCTGAAATTAACATCCTGGGCCGTGTCCATCGCCTAGAAGTCTACTTGTGCCCGTGGCTGCATGCCACCTTCCTGTCCTCGGCAGCACGGGATGCTGGGTGCCCTGCCCAAGGGCCTTTTGACCGAGGGACCCTGTTGCCTGCTCCTGGGCAGTGGTCTTATCTCCTGACATGGGGCTTTTAGCATTTCTGAGGTTTGGAGATTGCGGGTTCTGTGCGATTTTCAGCACATCCATATCTTTTCTACGTTGAATGTCTGGATCTTTTTTTGTGTGCGTGTGTGTCTGTGTGTGTACATATGTGTCCAAGTGTTTGCAGGTGGTGGCGGTACATGGGGACTCGTGCCTCGCTTTCCTGTGCTGGCCGTGGCCTCTTGGGTGGCACTGAGGCATGGCTGGGTCTATGCCTCTGCCCCTCATCTGAGTGCGGAGCCCTGCTCCTGGACTCCCTTTCCAGCCCAGCACGCAGCAAGGGGAGGGCTGACTTGAAGTGGGCCCTTCCGTGGTGCTTTGTGGTGACAGACCTTGATGGCACAGTCCAGTTCTTGGTGTGTTCTCACACTCTTTTTGGAAACATGTTTTGTCCTTCCAGTGTGGAATGAGATTCTTGAGTTGCTCCACAGAGCTGGCTGGAGGTGTGAGTTTTGTCACTGAACTGCCCGTCCCTGGGCTCCGCCCACAGGAGGTCCGCTTTGCCAAAGGGCTGATACTTCTTTGAGAATGGTGTCGTGGGCACATGTGCCCCACGCTAACTGCTAAAGACAAAGCAGGAAGTGTGTTGTGCCTCCAGCATGTGCTGGGCTCAGGGCAGCTGAGTTCCAGAGCCGCAGTCACAGGCCTTGTTGGTTCCGGGCAAGGAACCTGAGTGAGGTCTGCTCTGGCATGACCACCCCAACACAGCCTCACAGGGCCGGGCCCCCATAGCTCAGGGTCCCTCCCAACCCCGGCGTGTCTGGCCTAGGCCTCAGAACCGTGTGTACAGAACAGAGTGCCTGGCATGAGATGTGGGGGACTGAAGGACTGCTGGGGACAGGCATGCAGGAGGCACTGAGGAGAGAATGGCCTGAAGCAGACGGACCATGGAGGCTACAGAGAGTGGCCCTGCTTCTGGACTGGCCAGGGTTCTGTCCAAGGGTGTTCTGTGTCTCAGGAGTTGGTGCCTCGGGAGCCAGGTCCTGTTGGGGAGGGCAGTTGTGATAGGAGTGAGGGGAAAGCTGGGTCTGCCCAGCTGTCCTCAGCCTCCCATCCGGTCGCCACCTTTTGTAAACTCTGATTGTGCTCCGTGGTCCAACCCTGGCTGAGACTCTTGTGCTCCTGTGAGAGAAGCACGAACACTGAGCCCCGGGAGGGATAGGCCAAGCTCTTGGGCAGGGCCTCCTCCCCAGGGCCTGACCTGCCTGGTGGAGGAGGGAGTTGAATCTGTACATTGTCTCAATGCCTGTTTTTTTATGTTTTCCTTTCACTAAGGGTTTTTAGTTTGGGTTTATTTTTGGTTGGGTTGGCACTAATCCTTAAGATGCTGTGAGAACCATTTCATCCAAATGCCAAATAAATTTGTGTTCTGGAAGACACTTGGTCCGTCTTTGATGTGACCCAAGCTGGGGTGGGAGGCTTCAGCCAAGTTGGGCCTGAGGTACAGGTGTGGAGATGGGTGGACATGGGAGCTGAGTCATTTGTGGAAGCCAGGGGAAAGCTGGGGGCTCTGAGACCCCTCTGTCCCTTCAGTTCTCATGCAGTGGTTCTTCTAATAATTCCCAGGTAGGTGATCTGAGGAAAAGAGGGCACCCCGAGTACTCAGCCTTGGTGGGGGCTCATGCTTGCCTTCCTAATCCAGCCTCCTGGCCAGAGTGCTTCAGGTGGGGCTGAGGGAAGGGCCAGGGTCAGGAAAGGTACCAGTGGGTCCCTTGGCAGGGATAAGAGCTTCGAGGAGGCAGCCCCTCATTCCTGAACACATCTGCAGGGCGGTGGGCTGTCTCTGTGCACCCTGGGTGATGTCAGCACCACGGACAGTGCCCCAGGCCTGGGTAGGAGCCACCGCCCTTCCCCCATGTGGGAAAAGCCCAGCCCTTTGGACACTGTAAAGAGGCCTTGGTGCAGGGGTATCCCCCAACCCCACGCACTCAACCTGCCAGGACTCACACGCAACACCAGTGCACAGCTCTTTGCAGACAGTGTCGCCTTCTCTCCTAGAGGCCACACTGAGAGGCAGAGAAATCAGAGCTCCACTTTCCAGGGGAGGGAAATGCTGCCTGGCTCCAGCCTGGGATCTGCTCTGGGGCTGCTGAAGAAACCAAGCCCCCACCTGGGCTGAGGGAAGGGGACGGGCTTCCCGGAGACCTGTTGGGGTGGTCATCCAAAGGGGTGGCTAGAAGCAGGGCTCCATCTCACACTGTCAGCAGGGGGTGCATGTAGGAGTGTGTGTTGTCTTGGTGGGGTCCCAGGCCCACAGAGGAGGGCAAAGAATCCCTCCTATGCCCTACCCACCCCAGCCCCTCAAGTCGAGGGCACTGAGATCCAAGGGACCTTCCCCCTTGAATTTCAGTCCTTGCTGGTGGCTTTGGCATGTCACTCCTGGTCCCCAGCCTCTGTTTCCTCATCTGTAAATGGGCACCTTTACAGCTTTCCCTCCAGGGAGGATTAATTAGAGGATCCATGTAAAGCGTTTAGCTCCCAGAAATGCCGGAGACTGTTGCTGGCGTGCAGCCCTGAGACCAGAGCCTGCTGAGCCCAGCGCGCCCTCCTCCTTGCTGGTGGCCCTGCCTGGGCACTTGCCCCTCCTGCCATTTCCCAGAGCCCACAGAACGTAGCCACGCCCCTAGCCCACCCCATTAATAAGGATATAGCCACCTCCCTGCACCGGCCTCCGCGGTTTCCAGTTCTTCCTAGACACGGCATTCCCCCTAGCTGCAGCTGCAGAACCCAGCCACATCATGCCACCACCCGGCTTCACACTCGCCTCCTTCACCATGACGCTGGTGGTGGCTACGGACTCAGAGGGTGAGCACCAGGACTCTGCCTCACTGCTTTCCCCCTCCCCACGCCCCCCACCCCCCTTGTCCCTTAGGTCCTGATTCTGTGGAGTTTCTTTGGGGGAGGAGATACTGAGGTTGGGGCCACAGGAGAGCATGGTCTGCACAGGCCTCCCCTGACCTAAACCATGGGCTTCCATTCTTGGACCTTGGCTGGGATGGAGCTGGGAGGCAGCCCAGATGGCTGTCCCTCAGCTCAGTCCCCTGCCCACTGTCCCGCAGGCACCTGGTGCTATGACTCCCAGGACCCAAAGTGTGGTGAGTTCAGAGTGTTTTGTGAAGCTGTGGGATCGGTCTGTATCCTGTGGCCACTAGACAGTTTGGTGCAGACATAGGCAAAAGGCAGTCTCAATGCTGCGCTTCTGTGGTTTCTGTGGGTTTCTATATGTGGCCCTAGGCCACAGTGACCAGGCACCAGGCAGCCTGCGTGTGACTGTCCCTTTTCGTATGTGTCCATGTCCATGGCTATTGTGATCTCCAGTCCTGCTGTGTGCCAACTTGCTTGTATCAGGCAGGACCTGCAAGCCTGTCAATATGGCCAGCCCACATGTGAGCAGGAGGTGGAGTTCTCAAGTATGGATGTGTGACCATTTGCCAGGAGACCCTTCCACCCTTGTTCCCTGTGGGGCAGTCTGCCTGCAGATGACTGTGTGTCAGATGGCGCCTGCCTGTGTGAGGCTGTTGCAAACAATGTATCCAGGCCAGGTTGGGGAGGGTGGCTGTTGTAACCGGTCCATTTTGGGAGTAGAGCTGGGCTATTCTCTGGGTATGAATGTGGGGGGGGAAGGGCCACCTTCCTCTATGCACCCCCAAATTGCCTCCCTAACCCCCTACAGACCCACATCTTGTTCCCTCAAGCCCCACCCACTGGAAGGAGCTGGCTCCTGCCTGTGGAGGACCAGCCCAGTCCCCTGTCAACATTGAACTTCACCTGGTCCAGCAGGACCCCACCTTTGAATCCTTCATCTTCCAAGGCTACAACTCAGCACCTCCAGGCCCATGGACCCTGGAGAATGATGGCCATACAAGTCAGCACTCTGGGGTCAGGATCCCTCACAGATGGGTAGGAACCCTCTGCAGGGAGTGGGAACTACCCCCTACACACACACACACACACACACACACACACACACACACACACACACGAATCAATATCTCCACAAACAGCACAGGAACCTCCACACACATCGATCAACACATCCCCCAACAGAGGTCAGGACCCCCTACCAATAGTAATCAGTCATTGCACCCCAGAACCAGGAGTCAGGCACCAGGATGCCCCAGAAGTAATCACAGCCCCCCATAATCACATACAGCTGTGGTGAATCAGGACTCCACGCAGGATGGGAATTTCCACTGCAGTCTGTGGAGTCCCACTCTGCTGGCCAGCAAAGGGGCATGGACACTGAGTGGGTCCTCTTTCCAGGGAGACCCTGCCAGGGAGCAGACTGATCTGAGGGGGACCCTAATGGCACAGAGCGGGTAGGTGGGGAGAAAGAGAGAGGGTGTCATGTGCTCCCTTACCCTCAGTGCTACTCCGTGTGGACAATGGCCCACAGAGCCGCCTGGAGATGCTGGGTGCTGGGTTGCCACTGCCTGCCTACCACGCGCTGCAGCTGCACTTCTACTGGGGGAGCCCTGGGCAAGCGGGCTCTGAGCACAGCCTGGACAGGCAGCTCCACCCCATGGAAGTGGGCTTGGGCATGCGGTGGGGTGGCGGGAGTGCCCCATGAAGGCCCAGGGAGCACAGTAGAGGCAGATGAGTACCTCCCCTGGCCTCCCCAGGTGCATGTGGTCCACATGAACACAGTACCGGAGCATGGAGGAGGCGTGACATCACCCTGATGGGCTAGCTGTGCTGGCTGTGCTGTTGGCAGAGGGAGGGGGCCACTTGACTCCTGGCAGGGTGGAAGGGTGGGTCTATGTGATTCCGTGGGCTTCTCAGAAAAGGGGTCCATGGGGACCTGCGGAGGGGACAGGGTGAGCCTGTGGAGTGGGGGTGGGGTGGGGGTGGGAGGATCTATAGGGTTTATAGGATTTAAAGGGTTCTGTGGATGGAGCTAGTGGGAAGTGATGGATCTGCAGGGTCAGTGGGGGTGCCCCCCCCAGCCTGCCCTCTTCTCACTGAGAGTCTCCCCTACACCCCTTTGGAGACTCCCCCTTCAAAGCCCCTCTCACTTGGAGCCCCCTCCCCAGGAGCAGGACTGGGACAACCCCAACTTCTCTATCCTGTGTCTAGCCTAAAGAATGTGTCTGCACATGGTGAGCTGCTGCAGGTCGCACCCAGCTGGGAGTGGTTGGGGACCGAGGAGTCTGGGCCCAGGGAGGCTAGTTCCAATCCCGCTTGCCTCCCTACCAGGGGTCTCGGTGCCTCTATCGTCGACCTTTCCCTTGACCTCGCTGCTGCCGGGCGCCTCCAGCCTCTTGCGCTACTACCGCTACTCTGGGTCGCTGACCATGCCAGGCTGCGAGCCCGCGGTGCTCTGGACTGTCTTTGAGGATGCGGTACCCATTGGGCGCGCGCAGGTGGGGCTGCCACCCTTACCCCAGGCCGAGATGCCCACCTCCCTCCCGCACCCCAGCCTGTCCGTTTCTTGACCCATCTCTGTCCCGTACCCTCAGGTGGCCCAGTTCCAGATCGTGCCCCAGAGTGGGCCCCCGGGCACGCGCCCCATGCCACTCACGGAGAACTTCCGCCAGCAGCAGCCTCTCCCGGGGCGCAGGGTCTGGGCCTCTCCCAGCGCCTCCATGCGAGCCACAGCCCCGCCCCCCTCCTGCCTCGGGGTGGCGGGGGAGCCCGCTCTGGGGGCTCTGCTGGGCCTGGGGCTCAGCCTGTTGCTCGGGCAGGGCCCCTAGGATCCAGACTCAAACCCGTTCCCGCAATAAACGATGTGCAGAGTGACCTTGGCTTCATGATGCTGGGTGTATGTGGGGGGGTGGGGGTGGGGGTGCTGGGACCACTGCCTTAACCCCACAGAGGCTTCAAGTATGCCTTTCTATGCAATAGGGAGCCCCCTGAACAACCCACACCTACCCCACCACAGCCAGTTTCAGAGCCCCATCCAGAGCCCTCTTAGAGGGAGAAGGCACCCCCACTCCGAACCTACACTTTATGTCTGAATCCCCTGGTCAGATGGAAGAAGAAAAGCTAGCAGGTTCTAGAAACGCCACATGCTAAAGCCTAAGATTACACATTTTATTTCCAAAACGAGCTGGCACCGACCCCAAGTCACTGTGAGTGATTAAATGAAGACTCCAGCTGATGTTTCCCAGAGACCAGGAGGTGAGATGTGCTGGTTCCAGGATCCATTGCAGGCTGTGCTGGGTGGGTGGGTCCTGGCAACAGGTACAGCTAGTGAAACCGCACGCAGATGACACTATGGAGTCTCCGGGTAGGTGATTTCTGGAGAGGCACTGGTGCCCAGGTGACTGCCTGTAGTGAGGCTAAGTGAAGGACTAAGTGTCCTAGGTGTCACTGTCCAAAGCAAAGCTAAGAGTGCAGGTGTGGCTGCTGACCATGCTGTACTGTGGGAGGCTGGGTCTGGCTGTCAGTAAAGTGAAGCTGGCCAGAGTCAGGCTGCTGTCCAGTTGGTGCCCTGTGGAATGCGTTTGTATATCGGGGTGACACTGATCTGAGTGATACTGTGCCCAGGTGACAATGTCCCAGCAACCCACGTGTCCCTGGTGTCTGCTGCTTGGTGTGTGGGTCACACTGTATCCCAGTGTGTGGAGGCCCTGCCTCCTCCCTAAGACACTTAAGAAAAACAACAACAAAACCCTGTAACCCCCTCCCTCTAGGCGGAGGAGTCCCTCCTGCCACAGGCTATTGGGCTCTCCCCCTGCCCTCCCAGAGGCTGCCATACTCCAGGCCCAAATCTTCCCCAATTTTAAGACCAAAAGGGTCTTCATGCCTCCTCCAGACGGGAGTCAATCTCCGATGATTGCCAGCTGCGCGGAGCTGTCCACACTCCCCATCTCGACGAGGGAACAGATCTATCCATTCGCCCCTCCGGCCAGCGACACCTCCAGCACTACACCCTGAGCCGTCCTCAGCGCGGCCGCCCTCAATCCCCGCCGCCCTGCGGGGCCCCAGGCGCCACCAGCACCTTCTTGAGGTTGTTCCGGACTGGGCCCCGGTTCGCATTGCCGTCAGCGGAGCCTTCCGGGGCGTAGTCAGTGGGCCTGGTGACCGTAGCCAGGGAGTTCATGGTGCCTATTGCCCGCAACAGGGCAGTGCCACGGGGAGCGGCGCGAGGCTCTCGGCGGCCGGGCTGCGACGTCGGCTGGGACGGCAGTAGCGCGCGCAAGGCGTCCAGCTCAGCCCGCAGCTCCACCCGCAGCGCCTGGAGCCCCACGCCCAACTCAGTGCGCACGGCCGCCAGGCCCTCCTGCAGCCGCTGCTCGCTCACCTCCAAGACGCCCGCCGGGTAGGTGGCCCCGCCGCGAGGCTCCCCGCACACTGAGCACACAGAGCTACTGCTGCGCACGCCCGCCGACTCCCGGGTGCCCGCGGCTCTGGCCCCAGCCCGCGCCGCGGCCCCTGCACGCTCCACCAGCCGCAGTAGCTGGGGCTCATCGGCCCGCGCCTCCGCCACTGTCCGGAGCTGGCCCGGGAGGCGAGCCAGGCGGCCCGGAGCGCGAGCTTCTTCAGGACCCGGCCCGTTTGGCTGCGGCCCAGGATCCCGCCGGCGGCCCACACCGCGCCGCAGTGCCTCGCTCGCGCCGTATGCGCTGCGCGCCTGGACCCACGGGCGCCTGGGCTCCGCTGCCATCCACGCAGCCAACACTACTGCTAGCGCCACCAGCGCCTGGCCTGGCCCGGAGTCCCAGCCGCAGCCTAGCGACCGCTGGGGCCCAGGCGACACACCGAGGAGAGGGCCTCCGGGATGGCTCTGGGAATGACCGAGGCCTCTGGGGATCCTGCCTGGCGCCTGGGAAACCCCGGCAAGACAGAGACCTGCAAGGATAGCGCCCCAGGGGGCCCTGGGGCTGGGACACAACTGCAGTCTTGAGTGTGCTGGACTTGCCCGTGGGGTCCTCTTGTCAGTGGGTTCCTACAAGGGGCTTGGACCTGCTCTGGGCAGAGGTGACAGGACGTGGAGCAACAATGCAGAAGCCCCAGACTCCCAGACTGGAGTAAGGAACCGAGCTCACATCCTCTACTGGAAGCTACTGTCCCCATCACAATCAGGGGAAGGTAGGTGTGGTCATGGACCCAAGCAGCCCTCCTCCCTGGCTAGGGTGACCTCTTTCCATGCCATAGTCCAAGCCACTATTATCTCCCTACTCTGTCCCCCACAGTCCACACACACCTGCAGGAATCTACCCTGGTCATGGGCACCTTCCATTCAAGCTCTTCAGGGGTCTCCGTTGCTCTCTGCTGTGCCCTGCCCTTAGGAGGTACTGGCGGTCCCAGGCCATCTCACACTGTCAGTGTCTAGACACATCTTTTCTAACCTCCTCTAACCCAAGAACCTCCTCCACCCCTCTAGGCCTTTGCTTAAGCCAGTTCTCCCACCTAGAATGTCCCCCTCACACCCCCATTTGCCTGGCAGATCCCATTCATCCCACTTCTGCAAGGCAGCCTCCCTTCACCACCCCACAGCAACCAGGTAACTCCGGCCCCCTCCCCCACAGCACCCCTCACAGTCTAAGTGGCTCTCTGTTCTCTGTCCACCGGGATCCACAGAAGGATCCCTGAGCACAGGGCTGGGTCACACGGCACTCAGTGGTGTTAATCATGTTGGATGTTGGATGAAGGAGTAAATGGGTGAGGGAGCCTGGGGCTGAGGTCCTTGGTGCAGTGGGGCCTCCCCATCCCTTCCCTACCCAACCAGGGCAGCCCATGCACCTCCTCTGCCTACATTTGAGGCCCTTAATGCTATTATCCCTGCTGCCTTTCCTGTCCTTGCCACCTTCTGTGGGAGCCCCTCACCATTGCACCCTGTCCTTTCTCACCCCGGTGCCCTGTGCCTTCACACGTGCCATGCTACCTGTGCCCATCGCAGAGTCATGGGCAGTGCACTGTGGGCCCTTCTGGAGGGCAGTATCCCCCCATCCAGCCTGTTGTTCTCACTGCACCCTAGGGGCTAGTTAGGATTCTGGGTGCCCTGGGGCCTCCCCCCACAAATTGTGGGGAGGGAGAGCCTGGTGTGGATCCAGGCTGGGCTGGGAGAAGAGATGGCAAGACACTACTGGGACCTGTGTCCCTTGGTTCCACAGGGACCTAGCCTCTATGCAGCTGAGAGAGACAGAGACAGAGAGAAAGAGAGAGAGAGAGAGAGTTGGGACAGTCCCACCTGGGGAATGCTGTGGACTCGGTTCGCTGGCAGCCCTGGCCCCACGCCATTGTAAAGAGGCCTGGGTCCCCTCTATTTTTTAGTGCATTCATTCACTCATTCGTTCATCACAGCCTGTCTCTCTGGAAGGCGCAGGGGAGGTGAGAACTTGGCACTCTGTCAATCCCTCAGACCCCTCATTCCTGCTGAGTCACCTGGCCTGCTGGGACCTCCAGCATCTGGCTCTGCTGATCCCCGGAGCCTCGTTAACCATCCCTGCCCCCCCCCAGTAATTAAAATACTGCTGACAAAAGTGCCCTGGAGTCCCTCCCTAACCTGCTGGAGCCAGGCTGTTTGCCCCTCGGGCTCTGCCCTCTCTGACCCCAAATTGAGTCTTCACCTGTGAAATGAAGGAGGCCCCTAAAATTCCCAGAAGGGGACAGAAAGAAGGCTGGGAGGGTGGGAGAGCGCTGGGGAGAGACTCCAGATTTGCCAACCAGCAGATGGAGCTGTGAGAGCTGGGAGGGGCTCGGGTGGGCTGCCAAGGCACAAGCAGCCTAGGGACATAGAAGCTTTGTCTCTGACTGGGAGGCTGATGGGGGGGTGAGGTGCGGTGGGGGGGGAGGCTTGATAGGAGCAAAGCCTTTGCATTGAGGAGGAGTTCAGGTTCTTACAGGGGCTGCAGATATGAGGTAATGACCTGTGGTAGAGGGTCCCAAAACCATGGGCGGGGAGATGTATTACACAGGATTAAGTGCAGAGTTGGGAGGGAGGCCTGGAAACCACTGTGGGTCCTGAGGAGCGCTGCAGAGGTGTTGGTGAGGGGCAAACAGGCAGGTGGTGTGGTCAACACAACCCTGAGCCCCTGAGGTCAACACTACCCTGAGCCCCTGAGGTGCAGTGAGGGTCAAGAAGTAAGTTGTAGTGACTTGGCCTGAGCTTCATCCATGGAGGAGTTGGGGCAGAAGCTGAGGACTGGAGTGAGGAGATAGTTGGGGAGCCCTTGCTGAGGCTGGTAGTCATAGCTGAGGTAGGTGTAGTCCTTACAGGACAAGAAGCAGGGACAGAGCTGCTGGGCCAGTGTGTGTGTGTGTGTGTGTGTGTGTGTGTAGGGAGGTGGCTATACACAGGCCTGCTTTCAGGTTCCTCCTGGAAGCTCCTCACAGCCCAGCCTGCCCAACAACTCCTTACATGGAGGAGCTGACCTGGGCCCAGTACAGGGCCCAATTCCTTCCCCACTGTGTCAGGCCTGCTGGGGATGGGGAGGCCACCAGCTCCTTGGACTGTCCCCAGCCCAGCCCTGTGCATTTAGGTCATTAACCATTCATTAACTCATTAACCTCTGCAGAACAAGGAGAGAAAGCCCTGGAGCTCTGTTTCTGCCCGGAATAGGGGGGCAGTCACCTCATGTGACTTAACTGCCGTCACCCTTGCACTCTGCCATTAAACCCTGGCAGCCACCTAGAGAGGAGGTTTTACTGCCCAGAGCCCGAGGGCAGTTGGGAGCCAGGAGAGAGTTCAGCAGGCAGGGCCAGGCCAGCTATGCACGTTGAAGGAGCTCTGATGGCCTCAGAGGGGGCAGGAAAACAGTGGGTATGACTGTAGCCTCAGTCATCAGGGGAGCATCTGGAAATGCAGACTCCCAGGTACCCTGACCCCACGATGTAGAGGAGATGTGGGTGCTTGAGGGCCAGTAGTCTTTCTCCAGCTGTATGCACACCAAGTTAGGCCTGCCCGGTTCTATATGAAGTAAAAGACTGAGAGATATGGGTCAAGGTCCCTGAAGCTGGCCGGGCAATATGTCCCCCCGACCACCCCAGGCTCTGAGGGTCTGTGTGGGGAGGGGGTGCACTAGGGAGGGACCCAAGGGAAGAGCAGGACAGGACCTCTGTGCTCACCCGAGTGAGGTGGGGTTATTCTTAGAGCTGGTCCTGGAGGGGGTGGTGTGGGCTGAGTGTCTGGGGTGAGGGCTGTGCTCTCCCTGCTGGTAGGGATCCCGGCCCTAGACACATACTTCCGAGCATGCGCACATGGCCATCCTCTACTATAACTGCTGCTTGCTCCTGGAGTTGGACTGACTGGGCCTTTGGAGGGCAAGTGAGCAAGGCTGGCTTGGCTGGGGCCTGGACCCAGGGGCTCTGGGTTCTTAGGAAGGGAAGGTTATTGTACCCTTCAGGCCCCCAAAGTACAGGTCACACAGTGGGGCCTCTGCCCGCTAAGCCAGTAGGTCTGGCTTGAGCCCTTGCTCAGGACTCAGTTCTGGCCTAGTTCTTCCTGTCTCACCTCTGGCATCCCCCGTTGCCTTGTCTCAGTTTCTCCACTTGTCAGGGCCCAGGTGAGAGTGATGGCCAAGAGATGGTTAAGGGCAGCCGAGGTGACAGAGGCTGGAAGGATATGCAGTGGCTAGGGGAGGCCTGTGGCCTGAAGGGCAGGTGTATCTATTCTGGGAGACCCTGCTGCCCAGACCCCTGAGCTGTAGATGGCCTCTCATTTAAAGGAGGAGCCAGAGAGGGGAAGTGACTTGTTCCAGGTCTTATTGCAGGGTCCTGGACTTCCTGTGGGGGATGGACACAGGCACACCTTGCCCCTGAACATGCCTTGCTTCCAGGCCCTGGAACTGTGCCCTGGCCTCCTGGGAGCTCTGGCTACCCAGGTGTTCCCTAAGAACTGTCCTGGGGCAGGTGGGAGGGGCAACTCATTACCTGGTAATGCTGGCCTCAGTCATGAGCTAATTACCCTGTAATGACCCCTGTTTGCCTCAGTGCTGGTGTCAGCAGCACTAGAATGTCAGGCCTGGGGTGGCTCGGACCAGTCTAGGCTATGGCTCCCCAACCTGCCCCAGATGGGACATCAGGCCCACCAGCATCTCTGTGTGCCCTGAGGACCCAGCCTTTACTTCCAGGGGGACAATCCTGGGTTCCTGATTGTCCCCCTGCAGTTGCATGACCTTGGGCAGGTAGCCCTTTAACCACTCTGTGCCTCACTCACTCACAGATAGGGCAAAAGAGGGTCTGCATGAGGCCGAGAGGGGAGGTCTGCCTTGGAGGAACATGCCCTGCCCTTGCAGGGATCCTTGGGACTGGGCTGGGTTCTCATGTTAAGGCCATCCTCATAACCATTGGTCCCTGGAATGGACCACATCCCATTATTCCTGTGAAGGGCATTGGGAGGGGAGTCTGAGGGTTTTGCATAATTTTTATTCAATGTTTTAGACTTTAGTTTCAGTTGATGGACATTTGGGTTGTTTTCACTTTGTTACTATTATGACTATTTGGCTATAAACATTCATGTACAAGGTCTTGTGTGGATGTATGTTTTCTTTTATTTTGGCAAAAAAAGTAAACTTGTTTAGAGTTATAAAGACATGAAAAAATTGTATACATTAGCAAGGATATTATTTGTGTAAAAGCCAAAAGAGTGTTTAGCTAGGGAGGTGAAGGAGGTTGTAATGGAAAAAGTTTACCAGGACAGGGCAGGGTGATTTAAAGATCACCTTTAAATGATTTTGATTATAAAATATATGCACAAGACAGTATATAGTTGTAAAGAAATAGGTGTAAAAAGACAGCATTCATGGAATTCTTGACCCAGGTCAAGAAATAAACATTACTGATGTCCTAGAAGCACCCATGCCCTGCCCTGTCCTGGCAAACTTTTTCCATTACAACCTCCTTCACCTCCCTAACTAAACACTCTTTTGGCTTGCCCTGAGCAGCAGAGTCCTGGTTTGGATCCCACATGAGGGCCAGTGATGCTGCGCCCTCCACAGCTAAGATGGTGAACAACAGCTTGACCTAGAGCTGGGCTGCCATGAGTCGCCAGCAACCGGCAGAGGCTGCAGTGGGGCTGGCCAGCAGCTGGCATGAGTTTTCGGGAGCTGCCATGAGCCGCGGTGAGCAGCCGTCCAATGGCTGGCGAGTGACTGCCTCACCTGGGAAGAGAGCAATGATAATACCAACATGGGCCAGTGAAGCAATGTCCTCCACAACTAGACTGAAGAAGAAAAGGACAGCAACTTGTCTGTTCCCCTCCCCCAATTCCCCAAGAAAATCTTTAAAAATAATAATAATAAAAAAATAGATCTACAATATAATTCAAATTAATTAATTTTTGGGGGGTATGTAGTAAAGGTCATGGGTAACTTTTCCCTGGACATTTGTATCATGTGTTTATATATATTTGTATGTATTCTTTGGAGAAATGTCTATTCAAGTCCTTTGCCCGTTTTTAAATTTTTTTGTGCATGTGTGGTGGTTGTTGGGTTATAGGAGTTCTTCATGTATTCTGGATATTAAACACTTATTAGATATGATTTGCAAATATTTTCTCCCATTCTGGGGATTTTCTTTCCACTGTAATGATAGTGTCCTTTGATGCACAAAACGTTTAAGTTTTAAAGAAGTTCTATTTATTTATTTTCTAATTATGTTGCCTGTGCTTTTGGTGTTTTATGTAAGAAACCATTGCCAAATCCAATGTCATGAAGACTTGCCTTTATGTTTTCTTCTGAGTTTTATATTTTTAGCTCTTAAATTTATATCTTTCAACCACTTTGTGTTAATTTTTGTATGTGGTATAAGGTAAGGGGTCCAATTTTAATCTTTTGCATATGAATACCCAGATTTCCTGCATCATCTGTTGTAAAGACTGCTTTGTCCCCCACTGAATGGTTTTGGCAGCCTTTTCAAAATCAATTGTCAGTAGAGGTAAGGGTTTATTTCTGGGCTCTCAATTCTATCCCATTGGTCAATATGTCTATCCTTATGCCATTATACGCTGTTTTGATCATTGTAGCTCTGCAGCAAGTTGTGAACTC